TATTTTATTATATATATATATGTATATATATATAATTAAAATATATATGTGTGTATATATGTATATATATATATATATTTATGTGTATTGACTGTATTGCCTACATGTAGGTAGGTGCACCTGTTCCATGCCCATGGAGGTCAGAAAAGGGCATCAGATCCCCTGGAACTGGAGTTACAGATGATTGTTAGACACCATGTGGGTCTTGGGAATTGAACCCATGTCCTCGCAAGAGCAGCCAGTGCTCTTAACTGCTGAATCATCTCTCCAGACCAATAAATATAATTTTTCAATGAATAAATAATGAAAGAACAACAAAAACATGAAAATTAATTTTAATTTGTTAGCCAGTTTACATTATTTTGTCACGTGCTTTTGGCATAAAAGCTTTACTTTGACAAAGCATATTTAATCATTTAACATGCAGCTATCATAATAAAGTGCTAAACATTTTGTGATTGGGGAAATGAAAACATCAAAGTTAAATGGTCAGATGATTGGCCGCAGTCAAATAGGAAATGACTGGGAATGTGGCTTCCTCTGACCTCATTCCCTATCATAAAAATAACTGTGGGGACTGGAGAGATGGCTCAGGGGTTAAGAAGACATACTGCTCCTGGAAAGGTCCTAAGTTCAAGTCCCAGAATCCAGCCTCTTTGGGCACCTGCACTCACATACATATAACCCCCAAACAGACATACACACACACACACACACACAATTGAAAATAACATGTTTAAAAAGTAAAAATTACCGTATTTCAAAGATCGAATAGTCAGTACACTAGTGGATATTCAAATTTAAGTAAAATAGCCCTTAATCCCAGCACTCAGGCAGCTGAGGCAAGTGGATCTCTGTGAGTTCAAGGCCAGCTTGGGTCTAATAGTAAGTCCCAAGCCAGCCAGGGCCACATAGTGAGAACCTTGTCTCAAAAAAAAAATTTTTATATTTATATTTTTATACTTTAAAAAAAATATTTATTTTCTTTTTCTTCTTTTTTTTATTTTATTTTTTTAGTCTTTTTGAGACAGGGTCTCCCTGTAACCCCAGCTGTCCTGGAACTCACTATGTAGACCAGACTGGCCTCGAACTCACAGTGATCCACCTGCCCCTGCCTCCCAAGTGCTGGGATTAAAGGCATGCACCACCACGCCTGGCTCTATATTTATTTTCTAAGTAGTTATATCATGAAGATTGTTATGCCACAGTATTTTGTTCACCATAAATTACATGCCTTATGTAGCTTACCAATGGTCTAGTCTGCTATGATTTCTGACATTGGAATTTGTGTGGGTAAGTTTGTATGCGGTACTGAGAATTGAACCCAAGGCAATCTCTTTACCGCTGACCTCTGTCCTGGCCCTCTCTGTCGTTCTTTTGTTTTTGTTGTTTTAATTTGGTTTGGTTTTGGTGTTTCATTGTTTTTAGACTGAGTTTCACTGTGTAGTCCTAGCTAAACTAGAACTCTCTCTGTAGACCAGGCTGGTCTTGTACTTACAGAGATCTGCCTGCTTCTGCCTCTTGAGTGCTGGGATCAAGGGTGTATGCCACCATGCCTGGCTGTCATTTTTTAAAAATATATTTATTATTTTTATTTTATGCAATGCCCACGGAGGTCAGAAAAGGGGATCAGATTCCCCTGGAACTGGAATTATGGGTGGTGGTTAGCCACTATGTAAGTGCTGGGAATCCAACCCAGCCAGTGCTCTTAATCAGTGATCCATCTCTCCAGCCCCCATTTTTATTTTTGAGATAGGGTCTTGCTAAGTTGCCCACACTGGTCTTGAAATCACTCTGTAGCCCAGACAGGCCTTATGCTTATGAGGGTTTTTTTTTTTTTTCGGTCTTTTTGAGACAGGGTCTCTCTGTAGCCCCAGCTATCCTGGAACTCACTATGTAGACCAGACTGGCCTTGAACTCATAGAGATCTGCCTGCCTCTGCCTCCTGAGTGCTGGGATTAAAGGCGTGCGCCATGCCCAGCTTATTTTTTTAACTTTTATTTATTATTTTTATTTTTATTTTATGTGTATGCGTGTATTGCCCACATGTAGGTAAGTGCACCTGTGTTGTGCAATGCCCATGGAGGATATAAGAGGCTGTCAGATTCCCTGGAACTGGCATTATGGATAGTTGTTAGCTGCCATGTGGGTGCTGGGATTCGAACCTGGGTCTTCTGTAAGAACAGCCAGTGTTTTTAACCATTGAACCATCTCTCCAGCCCCCTTTATTTATTTATATTTTTTGTGCATATGAGTGTATTGCCTGCATGTATGTAAGTGCCCCCATGTCTGCAATGCCCAAGGAAGTTAGAAGGCATCAACTCCTCTGGAACTGGAGTTAAAGACAGTTAGCTGCCATGTGGGTGCTGGGAATCAAACCTGGGTCCTCTGCAAGAGCAGTCAGTGTTCTTGAGCCCTGAGCCATCCCTGTAGCGCCCATCTTATTTTTATTTTATGTGTATGTGTTTTACCTGTATGTAAGTGCATCATGTGCATGCATCCTTGCACATTTTAAGGCCTTACAGCTGTGCCTACTCTGTCCCACATTATTCAAAATAAATAAATGAATAGGACACATTGGAACAATACACAAGTTAGTTTCCTTGAATTACCTAAGTAATGAACTTTCTACAGCTTTCCTTGGAGGAAGCTTTCTCGACTGTATCATAAACAACAGTATCTCAGACTCATTTGTGGGTGTCACCACGTGGGTGCTGAGAACCAACCCACGTTTTCATGGTTTTGTTCCATTTCTTTCACCTAAGAATTACATCCCCTATGGACTATGTGATATAATCGCTCTGTCTTTCTCAATAAATATGACACAAGGGGGCTGGGGAGAGGGCTCAGCAGTTAAGAACACTGAATATTCTTGCAGAAGACCCAGGTTCGAATCCAAGCACCCACATGGCAGCTAACAACTGCCTGTAACTCCAGTTCCAGGGGATCTGATGCCCTCTTCTGACCTCCATGGACATTGCACAACCCGGGTGCACTTACACACATGCAGGC